TTACAATAGCTTGGCTGTTTGTTGCTCTTATGACTTTATGACTTACTGATAGACTGACTGACAGTGCGTCAAACTGACCGACCGACTGATTAGCATGCTGAATAAAGGGGGTAAGTTTCTAAAGAAACTGTGACGCTGCGTCAGTGGGGAGTAATAACAAGATAATTTTGGTTTTGCAACCTGAGTTGAAAATGGAAATTGGTTATCGTAAAGAGTTTCAAAGCTGTTTTGAGCGTTAGTCCTTTGTCAGAGCGATTAGACGATTTTTGGGTTGTGTGTGTGTGCATATCAACACACTCACAAGCCATAATTCCTCCATTCGCTCTGACAAAGACAGACCGACAGACTGATTTACTGACTAGCTGACTGACCGACCGATTGACTGATTGATTGACCAACTGACGGACTGACTGACTGATTGATTGACCAACTGACCGACAGACTGACTGGCGTACTGACTAACTGACCGAGTGTTGACCGACTGACTGATTGACTTATTGACTGACAGACTCACAGACTGACTGACTGTTTGACTGCCTGAATGATTTGCTAAATGACTGGCTGACAGAATTACTAACCTACCTAATAACCTCTTAATGGCTAAATGACAGACTGACTGACTGACTGACTGACTGACTGACTGATTAACTGACTGATCGACTGACTGATCGACTGACTGATCGACTGACTGATCGACTGACTGATCGATTGACTGCCTGACTGCCTGAATGACTGACAGACAGACTGATTGATTGACTGACCGACTGGCTGACTGACAGACTGACTGGCTAATTTACTGACTGACAGACAGACAGGCGGACAGATAGACAGGCAGATTGAGAGACTAAGTGACTAACTGATTTACTGAGTGACAGACTGACAGACAGACAGATAGACGGACTGATTGACTGACCAATTGACTGTCTGATAGACTGACTAACTGACTGACTGACTGACTGAATGATTGATTGACTTCCTGATTGACTGACTGACTGACTAACAGACTGATTGATTGACTTCCTGACTGATTGA